TCTTGACTCTTGGACTTCACCGTGCTCACCAGGATGGCGACGATGATGAACGAGAACATTCCGATCATCACCATAAGGTACAAGATGACGTAGTAGAAGTTCTCGGCGTCGACTTTGGCCTGCAGGGCCTCTTGCTCAGCTGTCGTGTTCCTGCGCCAATTGTCCATGTAAGTAATAAAAATCCTTTTGAAGACATCTTCCAGTGTCTGTGTCAGATTGGATAGAGCAAGCATATTTCTCTCCTGCTGCAAATGGAATAGTAAAATAGATGAACAAGAATTTCTTTTAAAAGGGATCTTTAAGGGATAGAGGGAGGAGCATGTGAGGGGGAAAATAGTATCATTTCTTCTTAACCTGGCTAGTGATTGATTGAGTGCACATTTCCTTATCCTTTGAATTTCTCACGTGCATTTTTATATGCGTGATATCTGACAATAAAGTTTAATGGAGGATGTAAAACTATGGTATGATCCCAGTTTATATATATATAAATGTATAAATGTATACATGCATATGAAAATGGAAAAAAAAGCCTGGAAATAGAATGAAATAAATAGTTCAAAACGTTAATAGTGGGTGGTAACTTAATGAAGAATTTTTTCTTTTTTATACTTTTCTCATGTTCTAAAGTTTCATCACTAATCTTGCATTACTTTGTTTTTAGATAGAACAGTAACCTCACAATAGCTAGTAAAATGTCTTATCTATAACGGGCATTCAACAAACATCAGTTGAATGGAGCGATGACTAGTGCATGTTCCATGTTTTTAGAGAATTCGGGGGTGGAAGATTGCGTGAGGGTATTGACAGCCTTTGCAGCTTGGGTCATCTCCCATGCCTAGGCGGTGCTTTTCCCAAGTATCTCAAAGAGATGAGTACGTACACCCACATGTGAAAGAAATGTTTTAGGCGAGGGATACCAAGAAACACCCAGAGAGATGATTCACATTTCTCAAATCCAGCTCTCCTCTCCATGCTCGCTATCACGGCCCGCCAGCATCTCTCACCCGGATGACACCATGCAATGCGATACAGCTCTCCCCAAAACCATCTCCTTGGGGGCACATCTGTCCCTCTCTGCCCTGCAAAGCAGTCATTGTGCTCTTTTTAAGAGGGAACTGGGATCATATCATCCCCCCCCGCCCCCGCTTTTTTTAAATGAGGTAATACATTCCCGTTGTTCTAATAAAATTTTAATTCCTTAGCAGGTTTACCCAGCCTGGCCTCTGACCACGTCCCCCATCTCTCCCCGCTCAGGACCCAGTGGTCACACTGTCCTTCCTCCAGGTCGGTCATGTTCTCCGGCTGTAAGACATTTGCACACTTGTACTCATTTGCACACTCTGCTCCCTCAACCTGGAAGACTTGCCCCGCGCTTCCTCCTGCCACCTCCTCACGCTTTTAGTCCCAGCTCAACTGTCACTTCTGAGAAAACTTCCCTGGCCCTGCTCTCAATCAGCTCCCAACACCACCAACACTGTCCTCCAATAGCATCTTCTTATTTTTCTTCACTGCACTCTTTACAATATGTAATAATTATGCGTCTCCCCAACACCACCAACACTGTCCTCCAATAGCATCTTATTTTTCTTCACTGCATTCTTTACAATACATAATAATTATGCGTCTACATCACTGGATGTGTGTGTGTGTATGTGTGTGTGTGATTATTGGTATATGGTCTCATCTTTTCCACAACTGTCATGTCCACATGAGCAAAGTTCACATCACCTTGGTCTACCTTGATATAGTGAATGTCTGGCACCGAGCCTGAGACACAGTCGGCATGCAATGGGAGTTTACTGAATAAATTCATGTGCCGGGCACGGGCTAGGCATTGGAAATGCAGAGATGACGAACACGAGCATTCTGCGTGTGGAAGCTCAGTGTAGTGGCAGAGATGCAAACAGGTGCGAGGTGCAAGGAGTTGTTACAGGTGTGAACAGAGTGTTAAGGGAGCTTAGTGAATAGAGGCGAACGTGGTTCATCGATGGCAGGCAGGCGTAAACAGAACTGGGAGGAATATAGGCAGGAAGCAAGTCTGTGCTTAGTTAGCAGCAACCTGCAGGTCCACCCAGTCACTAAAAGCCCAAGCAAGCAGAGTGGGTTTGCTTAGTACCCTTCCGAAAGCAGCGTCCCTCTCTTCAGCGTGCGTCTTTCCTTCCCTCCTCTGGAAAGAGATGTTTCAGATCTTCCCACCTGGGAAAAAGGCACGAATCAACTTCCAGGTCTTCCTCCCACAGAACACGCCTTCCCTGCATCTCCCTCATTGAGAATTACCATCACCAGGATAATACACGTTTCTCCATCGGATGTTTTAAGTTCTATTATTCAGAGATCTTCCTCTCCCTCTCCCCTCCACACAAAGCCTAGTGGGTTGAAAAGAAACTTAAAAAATAGATAAGATTGTCCCAAAGTACATGCCAAGCACATTTTCTAAGCAATGTAACA